GAGCAGCCTGTAGGCTCTGCCAACCCAATGGGAATCAGCTCAGAGGGATTGCCAGGGTGAAGGTTCTACGTGGAGCCCAATGCCCTAGTGTGCGGATGGGGAAACTGAGGCCTAGGGGTGAGGCATCAGGATGTGATCAAAGACAGTGGGCTGAGACCTATCAAGTCAGACCTTGGCTTTCCTGACTCCAGATCCTCCTACTGCACCAAACAAAAAGGTAATTAAAAAGAAGACTGACTTTCGAAAACAACAATGCTTCAATAGGGGATTGATAAGTACGTCACTCAACAGAGGAACGCAATCAGCTGTTAGACAAAGGAGGCAGACCTCTGTGCTAACGGGCAAAGGTGGTAAAGAAAGCAGGTTACAGAGCAGCATGTCAAGCGTGATCCTGTTAACATATGTGTGTGTGTATGTACATTACACACACATATTTATACAAACAAAAGACTATGGAAGGATCTTGCCAGACGCTGGACATAGTGATCTCTGGGGGAAGTTGGGCTACTAGGAGTTTTCAAATCCTGCTTCCTGTTTTCCTGTGCTGTTGCCACTTCACATTGTGCGTGCATTTTTTCTTATAATTGAGTAGAAGATCCAGATATTACAACGTGACACTCTTACCCAAGATAGGTATATGTGGCCTGGGTAGCCCTGTGCTGGAAGATCAGGACTCACCTGGGATTTGGGAGAGAAAAATAATTCTCTTTTATCCACCTTACAGGCTTACGGCCTACAGGAAAGTTGCAGTTCTCAGCTTCAGCCACCAGGGGGAAGCAGGGGATCAGGCCATCCCTGAGGAGGAAAGCCGGGAATTTCTGAGCTGGCCAGGATGTGGGGGGAGCGGGACCACACTGTTTGAAGCCTGTGGGGCAGGGCTGGGGTCAGGTTCCAGGGAGAGGAGGCCCAGTTACATGCCAGGGGAGGGTCCTTTGCCTCAGCACAGAGGGAAACGGAGACAGAAGCCAGAAATGAACTAACAGAGTGTGGGTGCCTGAGGAAGGAAGGGGAAAGTCTTGGGTCTGTCTGGCCCCTGGGGGAGCAGGGAGCCCTCACTCCTGCCACCTGGTTCCTGGGGTTGACAGGTAGGAGGCAGAGCAGAGGGGAAATTGAGGGCCATTTTCAGGGCAGCACAGGCCCAGGTAACAGTCCCACCTCCGTGGCGGGTGCAGTGGCCAACACGGTCTTGAGCACGTCCCAGGTGCAAGCACTTTGCCTCACCCCGTCAGTCCTGACGCTGACCCTCCGCAGGTGGCAGGCAGCATCATGCCCGTTTCCCAAGGCAGGGAGTCGGGGCCGAGAGGGGAGGCGACTGGCTTAGGGGGACGGTCCCTCTGACCCCCAGTCCTTGCCAGGATGAGGATGAGGAGGCAAGTGCCACGGTCCCGGACACATGAGGTAGGACTTGGACCTCAGATGGCCCCACAGGCTGCAGGGCCGCCCCAACCTCAAGGGGTGACCAGAGGTGGAAGTGTGGGATGTTGAGAAGGTGTAGGGAGGGTGCTGCTCAGCTCTCAGCATGGGGCGTGTGGGGTGGGGAGGAAGCCCCTCTGCTTCCTGGACCAAGAGGGAGGAGGTGGGAGGGCGGCTGACCTGAGTCCAGGTGCTGGAGGCTGTGGCCGGACGAGGAGGACAAGAATGAGCAAGGGTCCAGGAGAGAAGGTGCAGGTGCCAGGCCTGGTCACCCCGGAGGCAGTGGAGGCAAGAGCAACTGGGGTTGGGGGCTGTGTTGAGGGCTCTGTTGAGTTCTGGCTTCCACACAGGTCTGCAGACCCACCACGGGGCTTGGACTAGTTGGTTTTGGGCTCTGAGCGACAGCAGAAGGCTGGCCGGCCAGGCTGGGCAGGTGTGAGGACCCAGGGCAGAGTGGAGGGCTGAGGGCAGGCAGAGTAGGTGTGTATGAGTGTGTGGCAGGGGCAGGGGCAGGGGCGGGGCCAGCACAGGGCCTCTATCATCTCTGATAAATGGGGGGTTTGGAGGGACCTTTGTCCCGGGACAGGCTGCTCCTGGCTCTGGCCAGAGCTCTGGGGAACAGCCAGAGAGAGGCCTGACTCCAGAGGCGGCGAGCCTCCCCCAGCTGGTGGCCCCTTGGTCTCAGCTCCTCCAGTCCCTTCTCCCTCTCCCCGGCCAGGGAGCTGGGTCAGGGCATCTGGGCGGAGGGGCTGATGCCAAGTGCTGGGCTGGCCCCAGAAGCGCCATAACGTTTTGCCCAAGGACTGCACAGGCTCCTGGGGAACCACTGGGCGTCTCGTCAGGATCAGGAACAGCTCGGAGCTGGGAGCGGGGGCGCAGCAGGGGACCCCAGCTGTCAGTCTTCCGTATCAGGCTTCTCCCGGGCCTCAGTTTCTCCACCTGTCACGTTGGCATATTGTTCCCTGCCCTGGCTCCTGCCAGGACTGTTAGGAGGGCACAGGAGAGACTTGGGCCTGGGATGGGACTAAGCACAGAGCCGGAGGGCCACCCGGGCCCAGCCTGGGGCGTGAGGAACTGCAGGGTGGGTGGGAAGGGAAGCCACTGTAGCCGCAGGTGCGTGCAGGCGCTGCCTGTAGGACACAGGCTCATCACACGTCAGGAAGGGGTGGTGGTGGGAGCCTGGCCTGGGGCACGGGAGGGGCGCTGCTCCTGCTGCTCTGGTGCTGAGGAGCGGGGGTGGGTGAGTGCTGCGCCCTCTCCTGCAGGCCTGGGCCTGGCATGGTCGCCCTTCTCTGTGTCGGGAGCAGGCGCCAGGGGCTCCTTATACCAAGGCCTTAGTGGGTTGGAGCGGCCTGTCCCTCCAGAGCACCTCAGCCCCGGGCTTCATTCCTTACCTCCCCTCTGCACCCCTGGGAGCAGGAGCTGCCTGGGCCCCGCCCAGGTCCGCCTCAGACTGCACTGAGTGGGAACTGGGGTTCAGATCCGGGCTCCGTCCCTGCCCGCAGGGTGCCCTCCTAGCCCTTACTCACTGGGGCCTTGACTTCATTCCGACAGAAATATGGGGTGGGTGTCAGTTTCGAAGGAAGGCGGGTGTGGGCCCATCGCTGGGCCGTCCTCCCTGGGTCCCCTGACGCCCCTTTCGGTGGCGGACTCTGCTCTCTCCCAGCCCTCAGCGCTGGCAGCCTCTGGACATGGACATTAAGTCCGACCGGAAACCCTTCCTGTCCAGGGGAATGACTGGTTTCCACGGCTCTGGGAGATGTCGAAATGCAGGCTGTGTTTGCCTTGGGTTTGTGTTTTTTTTTTCCACGGAAAACAAAACAAGCACAGGGGCCCCTGCACACTGACACACAAGGGCAGATGAGCGAGCGTGAACCTGGGGCCTCAGCCCAGCACACAGTGGGCACTCGGTGAACCTGGCACACAGTGGGTGCTCAGTGAGCCCAGGGGTCCCGGGTGGGAGGCCCACTCCCCCTCTGACTTCCTGTGTGATCTCTGGCAAGGCTTCTGCCTGAGCCACAAGCAGTGGGAGCAGGAGATCCACTGCCCCTGGCTCCCGGGTGCCAAGCGTGCACTGCGCCTCATGCTCCCTGGGCCATCCTGTCTGCACCCTAGCCTCACGGAAGCTGGGGCTCGGAGGCGAGGATCTGCCACCTCACACAGCCGGGCAGGTCTTGGGGACGGGGCGCACTGAGACAGACCCTGCTCTGTCCTCAGCCTGTCCCTGGAGGGCAGCCCCTTCCTGGCCCCTGGCAGTGTCTGCGGAGCAGCAGGGCAGGTGATTATTCTCTCCGCCTCCCACTCTGTGTGGGCTGAGTCCCCTCACCGCTCACGGCCTGGCCAGCTGACACCACCTGCCTTCAGACATGGCCCAGCGCCTTGCACACGCCTGAGGGGAGGCCGCAGAGGCGTGTCCTCCCTTTGTGCCCATAAGCAGGAAAGGGCTGGCGGCTTCCAGACTCGCTGTGCACCCCAAGGGAGACAAGGGGTCCTGCTCTGGAGTGGGGGGGGGGTGTCTCTGTTCCTGCCCCTGCCCCCTCCCCCATCCCAAGGCCTCCCATCTTGTTTCTCTGCCCCATCTCAGAGGCTGAACTCAGGAGCTGGCCCGCAGACATGGTGTGATCTGTACACTTGGTAAATATTTAGCAAACTAGTTGCCAAAATTAAAACGGACAATTTCACACAAGAACCTGCATTTCCAGCCTCCCTCCCCCCACCACACACACTCTGGGCAGTACACTCGCGGCACCACTGGCTGGAGCCCAGGGTGCGGTGCCCCCCAGTGAGGCTGCCCCGCCCACCTGCCTCCGCACAATGTCACCGTCACCCCCACGGGACCATGAGGGACCACTGCGAAGTCCGGTGCTCCTCAGCCGTGCCCGTCGGCCTGACCGGGGCTTTAAGAACCCGAGGACATGTCCAGGCCGGTATCGCAGGGTCTCCGGTGAGAACAAGGCCCCGTAGGTGCTTCTGTGAGCAGCAAGGCTGAGGATGCGCAGCGTCTGATCCTGGGCCGAAGACTCCGGATGCAGGTCGCTTTGCGTGGCTCCCGAGCCGCTGAGCGTGGCTTCCTGTCTGTGGCCCCAGCAAAGCCCACCACATGACAGCCCAGCCCCTCGGGGACTTGCTCAGAAGAGGGACCCTCATTCCTTTGCCTGACTCCCCAGGAGGCCCGGGACACGGCGCTTTGCTGACTGTGATGCCCAGCGTCGGAGGCCCCAACCCCAGCCTTGGTGCGAGGGCCAGTGTGAGCAGGGGCGCAGGGCCCAGGGCGCCCGCCGGCTCTGCTCCCAGAAGATTCGCTCCTATATATGGTCACCGGCAGTCCCATCGCCCAGCTAACGTGTGACCTAATGTGCTGACAATCTCGCCCGACTTGGGGAGGGCTCTCGCCCGGAGAGTGTCCCCTTGGGGCAGAGGGGCTGGGGGGAGGCCCATCAGTGGATGGAGGCAGGGCACGGACGGTGGACCCAGGCCCGGGAGAGCAGAGGGCGGCCGCAAGTCCCTCCCTCCCCCTCGGCCCAGAACCTGCGAAAGCGCCCAGCTCCCCACTGGTGTCTGTGTAAACAAGGAAAGCCACGAGCCTCCGGCCTTTAAAGTCCTTTAATGCCGCAGGAAAAGACTATGTTTCTACGGGCAAGCCGCATACAGATTCTCCAGGAATAAGGCACACAACGGAATGCCATCCCGAGGGCGACCTCGGAGAGCTCAGGGGCCTTGCCGTGCTCTCCGAGCTGGGCCCACGGGCCATTTGTCTCTTTAGCTGGACACACACGCATTCATGGATACAGACACGGACAGTCACCCCACGGGAGTGGAGGAGGTGAGCGGTGAGGCCGGCAGCGGAGAGCAGCAAGCCCGCTGCCACCAGCCCCGGGGACACCTCCCGCACGTCAGGGTTAGTTGTTGCGCTGGCTACAATGTAGTGATGTTGGTTAAATACTCAGGTAGAATAGGTTCAAGTCTATTAGACGTTGGAGGGCAAGTGAGGGCTCTGGTTGACAAATCCAAGTTCTAAGAGCCTGGGGCTCCGAGGCATGGCTCAGACGGCCACCCAGAGGGGTGTGAAGACTGCCTCCCTTCCTCTCACCGCCCTCCGGGGCCCTGCTGACCGGGCCTTCCCCAGGCAAGGCCACAGGGGGCTGGTTAGTCACATACCCCTTCCTCCCCTAGGCCACCTCCTTGCCCCCTACTAAACTAACAACCATAATAACGAGAGAATAATGAGAAGGTGCAAGGGAACGGATTACAATGCTGTTTGTTATCCTCAGCCGAGGAGGCTCAAAGGGGTCACCATCCCCCTTTCACTACATACCTAAGAGCTTCCCTTAAAAAGGCAATACTTTCCAGATACACATATGTATAAATACAGGACAGACACATATCACTGAGTCTAAGACTGGGGTAATATGCTGGCTACTTAATACTGATATTTTCATCCAAGGAAAACAACACAGAATAGCAACAATATGGCTTAAAGAATTGCGAAGGTGTTTTTTTCCTCGTCAGAATTATGTACCAACTTCATAAAATATTCTATGGAGACAATATTTCCTTCTTAATGTAGTTCAGTTGCATACTTTTTACAGACCAAAGTATAGTAAAAAAAAAAAAAAAAAAATCAAACGAAAAAAACCCCAGGAGAGAAAAGTTCTCACCATAAATATTTTCTCGCACCTCAACAAGAAGGTTTGCAAAATACTTCCAGACATTTTGTTTGATATTCTATTGCCCTCCCGAAAGCTCTGAAGTTTTGAAAATGCCTCTTTTTGTTTGTTTTTTTATGTCAAAAATCAAACAATTATTTTTTTCTTTTCTTTTCTTTTTTTTTTTTTTTAAAAAGGCCTTCAAATATATACAGACAACAATCACTGTGAGGATTTTTCAGGAGAAGGTAACAAATTCAGTGTTGTGAGAAAAATTGGTAACTATGCAGAAATTTTAACATCTATGATTTTTTTTCAAAATACACAAATAGTATTTTTTCTTTTAAAAAAGGAATTCTGTGTCAAGTATAACTCAAAATAAATACAAATTCACAAGTAGAACTACTGAATACTTCAAATGGGGTAAACACTGTTCTCTCCCAGCTACGTCACTAGACCTACTAACTGCAAGCCATTGTCCCTTTTGAACGTACTGAACCACACACTTGCTCGTCCCCTGGGCTCCCAGGCCTCTGAGCACTTCATTCCCACAGCAGCCAGCCTGGGCATCAGAGGCTTTTGCTGACCAAGTTCTGCCAGAACAATACCGGAGGGGGTTGCAGAGGGCCCAGCCCCCCGTGGCCAGCTGGGCACAGATGGCAGGGGCAATGGCTGCCAGCTGGACAAGCCCACGGGGAAGGTCACTTTGGGTGATAGCCCATCTCCTGTGGCCCGTGGAAGGCCCTGGCCTCCAGCGGCCTGGAGTCCCGGTTCTTTTAGGGTATGGGCTCTCCCCACCTCTGCCGCAGACTTGGCAGGTCCCACTGTGGGGCCAGGTCCCTGGAAGAGTTGGGGCCGGGTGCTGGCAGCGGACAAGCACACTGCCCACCACTGGGAGCATTACCTGTGGCTGCGCACTAGGATGACGGGCAGTGACAGCTTCTCAGCCACAGTGCCTCCAGCCAGGGCGACTCCGCTCACCTTGGCCCGGTGGGGACAGCCGGAAACAGCTGGGCAGAGACTCCACCCTGGCATTCCCAGTGGGTGGGAGGGTGGCCACAGCCAGCGGCCAGGCATGGCTGCTGTGGGTAGGAGGGAGGCAGCTTTGGGGCTCAGGTTGGAGCAAATACCCCCCTTTTAAGTGCTCAGAGGCCGCGACCCCCTGAAATCTCCTCTGCAGCCCCCCTGGCTTCAAACACACTCACTCCATCTTCTCCACTTGCTCCCTGGACTCCTGGTTAACTTGACTGTAACTCCTCAGCTGTACAAACATTTTCATTTGAAAACAAAGGCACTGGACCCCGGCTGGGTGTCCCTGAGCCGCGGTAAACACTGGATTTCAGGCCCATTTCGTGGTCTGACTTTTTCCCACAGAGGCATCACGTTGGGGCAAAATCAAGTGACTCGGTCCTGCCAACCAGCTTTCTCCCTGTCCCTGGGAGAAAGGAAGGACGCAGGACAATAGAAACAGGCTCCTCCCTGAAGAGGGTGGTCCTCCCGCTGCCGGACAGTGTCTCCCTGCTCCCCGGGGGGAGGGGTTCTGCAGCGTGGCTTGGGGCTGCCCCATGCGAGGTGGAGGGGGACCCTTCTCCTTCACTTTTGCAGGGGTGGGGACCACAGGCAGGGATTGGGACGACAGGCAGGGGTGGGGCTGGCACCCTTGGCTTGACTGCAGTGATGGACTGATGGGGGATGGTGTGAGTGTGGGACCTGGTGACACTCTCCAAATTCAGTCCTGTGCCCAGGAGGTGCCCCCCCACCCCCACTTACTAGTGTCACTCACTGACCTAATGGGGAAACTGAGGCCCGGAGACGAGAAGTCCTCCCCAGGTTTCATACTTTGTCAGCAGCAGGGCCAGCACTTGAACAAAGGTCTCCAGCTGCCAGGCCCGTGCCCTTCCTGCCACAGCGGCTGCCTCAGGGCCCTCCAACCTCCATCGGGGATGGGCCGGGGGTGGGAGGTGAAGAAGGGAAGGGATGGGCTGACAAATCCAAGCACGTGGGGAAAGTGTGTGTTGGGGGAGGTGATGCCTGGTGTGCCCCAGGCCACACCTTGGGACTCTGTCCAACATTCACTGCCGCCCCGTCCCTGACCTCTGGGTCTTTGGGGAGGCGGGTGCAGAGCCCGAGTGTAATACCAGTGACGTCAGAGGCAGTCAGGTTCTGGGCTCAAAGTGGACAAGGGGCAGAGAGGCTCACTCCCAGCAGCCGCTAGACCAGGCCTCAGCTCGCCATGACTGCTGACCTGAACGGGACACAGAAACGGGGCTCTGTGAGGGTGCTGTGCGCACGGGGCAGCCTGGAAGGCCCTGGGGAGGAGAAGGCGCCGGCTGGTCTTGGGGAGACAACCCCCACAGGCTTTGGGATTCACAGTAAATTTAGTGCACTTGTGGCCAATGCAAGGCTGCTCACCAAAGGGGTCTCAGAGGAGGAGAGCCTGCAGGGGACCCCGAGGGCTTTGTGGGTCCTGTGCATCCACCCCAGCTCGCCCCCAGTCCCCCCACAGACTCAGCCCACCTGGGGAGTCCCAGAGACCCCGCCTTCCGCGGGGCAGCTATGTCAGTAACACTGTTTGTCAACACACATGAGACAAGAACCTAAGACCCCCTGCCCAGACCCGCATGCCTGTGAGGACACCCCCACACACATGGGGACACGCAGCAACATGGACGAACACAGCGGGTCTTCTCTGGCTGGCGGAGGCGGCGCACGGCCGGTCATTGCACTCGGCGGCAGTAGTAGCCCAGCACCTTGCACTTCTCGCACAGGTGCTGGGGGTGCTCCTTGCTCTGGTCGGACACGTCCAGGCCATCGGGCTTCTCCAGGGGCCTCTGCAGAGAGGAAGCGGGAAGAGGGCTCAAGGCGGGGAGACCAAGGGGCAGCAAGAAACACAGAGTGAAGCCGGAGAGAGAGGGGGAGAGAGAGAGAGGGAGAGAGAGGGAGAGCGAGGGAGAGAGAGGGAGAGAGAGGGAGAGAGAGGGAGGAAGAGACAGGAGGAGCGAGACATACACAGAGCGAGCCCAGAGGGAGTGTGCTGTGGCCACAGAGGTTGCTTCCCTAGGCACCAGGGCCCTTCCTGCCTCTTGCTGTCCCCAGAGGCACAGTCTGGGGCCTTGGGCTGGGCCAGGGCTGGGGGAGAGGGTCCTATACCCAGAGCCCGGGTCTGGACACCCTTTGCCATTCCCCAGTACCCTCTGAGCAGCCACCGCCAGAAGCTCACAAAAACCTGGGATAGAGGCAAGACAGGTGCACAGACATTATGCAGATAAGGGAAGCAAGGCCCCGAGCCAGGGAGACCCCAGCCCACACCTCCGGCCTCCCTCCCGGCACCCAGCACTTCTTCCCTGGATGCTGTCATTCCCGTGCCTCCGCGTGTGGCCTCAGGACTCAAGCAGAGTTTAACCTGGACACGGTCGAAACTCTTCAGGTCTGAGGGAATGAGCCCTCAGTTCTGTGAGGGGTCAGCAGCCGGTGCTCTGGATCCCCCACTTCCCAGGGCCAGGCACGCCATCTGCCATGTCTGTTGAGGCTACATGAGCGGAACCTCCTGGTTTCCTAATAGGGAAACTGAGGCCCAGAGCAGGGAGCTGATGCTGCTCACTCCCTGTGCGACCTCAGGGAGCCTCAGTTTCCGTGTCTGTGAAGTGGGCCATCGTCACACCTCATTTGCAGGGCACCGGGAGGATTCGGAGGTCTTGGTGTTTGTAAACTGAGCAGTGTTTGTAAACCTTTCTGTTACTAGGGGCAGGTCCCTGCTCCCTCTCCCCCCGCCCCCCCACCCCCCGGCCTCACAGCCAGCCAAGCCTGGTCTCCTTGGAAGGTTTATGGATGCTACTAGGCGCGTTCCCGAGCAGTTCCTTGGCACAGCCCTGACCCAGAGCCCTGCCTGCAGAAGCGTCCCCTGCACGGATTTGGGGGGAAGCTGGCCAGGGAGGGGAGTCTTAGGGCCATTGACCATGACCCAGGATGGTCCTGGGAGGACAGTGAAGGTGAGCGCTGCCCCCTGGCGAGACCGCAAGCCACTCAAAGGTAAAATACTGCCTTTTCTGCCCAATGATGCAGCGCCTGGCCCTGAGGTGGCACTCAGAGCGAGCAGTCGGGGATGGAGAGGCAGAGGGCTCTGGGAGATGCGCGTAGGGACCGTGGGTGGGCAGGGTTAGGATCCAGGGGCAGGAAGCCCATCCCTGTGCTTCCAGGCCTGTACCACACAGGACGGACTGGAAAAAGGATGGGAGCATTGACCTCATAGCCAGGGGCTTACAGATGACCGGCTTTCCTGGCCAGAGAAGAGTTTGTCCCCAAGGCACCTGGGCTGGACACCAGCTCTGCTGCCCGTGACCTTGAGCAGGCCACCCGACCTCCCTCCGACCCTCCATTTCCCCATCTGTAAAAGGAGATGTTACAACACGTTTCTCATGAGATGCTGTTCCAACTCAATGAAGACCAGGAATAGAAAGAGACGGCACATAGACACTATTCATGCTGCTGCCGCCGATGTTGATGGTGATTAATGGAAGGGGGACAGTTGGTAGAGTCAATACAAGTTGAAGCCAGGATTCCAAGCTGAAAGGCCCAGGCAGGTCACATCCCCTGCCCGCCCC